AATTCCCTTGCCTTTGGAGATGTGTCAAGTAAGAAATTGCTGTGGCTGAGGTCAAAGAGGTTGTTGTTTATAGCAGCATTATCAACAATAGCCAAACTGTGGAGAGAGTCCAGATGTCTATCATCTGATGAATGGGTAAAGATGTGGTGTATATATGTATACATGCATACCCACAATGGAATATTACTCAGCCATTAAAAAAATGAAATCTTGCCATTTGCAACAACATGAATAGAGCTAGACTGTGTTATGCTAAGCAAAAGAAAATCAGAGGAAGACAAATACTCATATGTGGAATTTACAACGTGAACATAAGGAAAGGGAAGGAAAAATGAGATAAAAATAGGGAGGCAAACCACAAGAGACTCTTATGTATAGAAAAACAGAGTTGGTGGAGAGAGGTGGGTGGGGAATGGGCTAAATGAGTGATGGGTATTACAGAGGGCACTTGTGATGAGCACTAGGTGTTATATGTAAGTGATGAATCATTAAGTTCTATACCTGAAACCCATTTTGCCATCTGTATTAAATAGAAGTTATTTTTAAAACAATTTTAACATTCATTTTTCAGAGACAGACACAGAGCATGAGTGGGGGAGAGGCAGAGAGAGAGGGAGACACAGAATCCAAAGCAGGCTCCAGGCTCTGAGCTGTCAGCACAGAGCCTGACACGGGGCTCAAACTCATGAACCGCAAGATTATGACCTGAGCTGAAGTGAGACGCTTAACGGACTGAGCCACCCAGGCACCCCTGCATTAAGTAGAATTTAAATAAAAGTTTTAAATAAAAAACAATTACCATTTATATTAGTCCTAGCTAATGCAATTTAAGACAAGTAAAGGCAATAAAAGATACACAGATTTGGAAGGAAGAAATAAAGCTGTCTTTGTTAGCAGATGACATGGTGTCTATGTAGAAAATCTAAAAGAATTGACAAAACCCTCCTGGAATAAGTGATTATTATAGCAAGTTTGCAGGGTATAAAGTAATATGCAAAAGTCAATCACTTTCCCATATAGCCAATGGACAAGTGACATTTAAATTAAAAACACAATACCATTTACATTAGCACACCCCAAAATGAGCTATTTAGGTATAAATCTGACAAAGTATATATGAGATGTATATGAGGAAAAGTACAAAACTGATGAAAGAAATTAAAGAACTAAATAACTGGAGAGATTCCATGTTCATGGAGAGAAGAGTCAACACTCTCAAGATGTCAGTTCTTCCCAACCTACAGAGTCAATGCAATCCCAGTACAAGTTCCAATAAATTATTTTGTGGATATTGACAAACTAATTCCAAAGTTTATATGCTGAAGCAAGAGACCCAGAAAAGCCAACACAATGTTGAAGAAGAACAAAAGTCAGAGAATTGACACTACCCAACTTCAAAACTTACTATGCAGCTACAGTAATCAAAACATTGTGGGATTGACAAAAGACTATAGACAGATGAGTTAAACACAATAGAAAGCCCATAAATAGACCCACATATAGACAATTGATCTTTGACAAAGGAATGAAGGTACTTCAATGAAGGAAGGATAGCCTTTTCAGCAAATGATGCTGAAACAACTGAATAGCCACATGCAAAAAAAAAAAAAAATCTAGACACTGCTGACTTTATATTTTTCACAAAAATTAACTCAAAATGAATCATAAATCTGAAACTGTAACAAAACTATAAAACTTCTGGAAGATAACAGAAAACAGGTGACTTTGGGCTTGGCAATGAATATATATATCACACAAAAATGTATATGTGCACAAGAAGACATACAAGAATGTTCATAGCAGCATTATTCATAATAGCCTCAGCCATAAACAGTTCAATAAACAGAATAGATTTATTTATCCAACATGATGGATATGTACATAAAAAACCAAATGAAAATGAGTTAATTGCAGCTATGCAACAACACAGATGAAACAAAATGTGTATCAAAGGAAGGTAGATGTGAAAAAGTAATATAGTGTGATTACACTTAGACAAACTTCAAAAGCAGCCAAGACCAAGTATAGTAAAAACATGAATGCTTTGTAGTAAAACCATAAGAAAATTAAGGAAGAAATAACCATAGATGTCAGACTATTGCTTAACTTTGAGGAGGAGGAAGGGATTAGTGATTGAAGTGCAGCGCAAGAGAAGCTTCTGCATTGCCTGTGTTCTCTTTGTAGAGTGGCACTTATTTTTATTTTTTAATATTTACTGATTTTGAGGAGAGCCCAAGTGGGGATGGGGGCAGGGAGAGGGGAACAGGGGATCTGAAGTGGGCTCTGCACTGACAGGCTGACAGCAGAGAGCCTGATGTGGGGCCTGAACTCAGGAACCATGAGATCATGACCAGGGCCAAAGTCAGACACTCAACCGACTGAGCCACCCAAGTGCCCCTGTAGAGTGGCAATTTTATAGGTGTTCACTTTGTAATGAATTGTTGAGTAGTGTTGAGTAGTCATGTGTGCTTTGCTATATGTGCATTTTATTTTGTAATGTTAACATCTTTAGAGAGAATTAAATTATATAATTTACCATATAAATTGGGAGTGGGGGAAGCTGCATTATAGTGTTCTAAGTTCATGGTAACATGCAGAAGGAATGAAGATATCGCTTAAGCTAGACTTTGTTAAGGATGCATGCTATAATCTCTCTGGTCGTCATTGAAAGAATAGAAATAGGAAATAGCTTCAAATACAGGAAAGTTGGAATGACCAAAAAAAAAAAAAAATCCAATTCAAAACAGCAAAAGGACAAAAACAGGCAAAAACTAAACTTTATTGTTTAGAAATGCACACATAGTTGGGCACATTGTAAAGTCATGTGAAGTGATTTAACATTTAAGTCAGAGTAGTGCTTCTGGGAGGAATGGACATTCAAGGGTATAGCTCAGAGGGGCTTAGGGTTACTTAGGGCAACAAATTTCTTCACTTGGGTGTTTTTTACAAGCATGTCTCTACTTATCAACTATATACATTATACACTATACACAATATACATTTGTATCGTATGCACTTTTCTGAATGTCTCTATTTCAAAATGTAAAAGATTTTAAAAAGTCAGTTTCTGTAAATCACATTAATAGTTTAAAACAGCAAAATCACATCATCATCTCAAATGCTGAAAACATTTTGATAAAATTCATTTATATATTTTTAAAGTCCCATTTTTTAAAAGAACATTCTTTTTTGATAAAGGATGACTATCTATATATGTATATATACACATGTATACATATAAAGAGGAACCTAAAACTACTGCAGATATCATCCTTAATGCTACAGGCTTTACCTTTGAGATCCAGAACAAGCCAAGGATGCCTACCATCAGCACTTCTATTCAGCATTGTATGTTCAATAATTATAAGACAAGAGAAATAAAAGGCCTAAGGATGAGAAAAGAAGGAAACTTTTATTTATCTTGATTTTGATGGTTATGTATGTGGAAGATCCAAAAATATAGAGGAGCTCCTGGGTGGCTCAGTCCATTAAGCCCCTTGCTCTTGGTTTAGGTTCAGGTCATGATCTCCGGGTTCTGGAGTTCGGGCCCATCATTGGACCCTGTGATGATAGTGAGGAGCCTGATTGGGATTCTCTGTCTCCTCCTCTCCCTGCCCCTTCCCTCTCTGCCCCCTTCTCTTTCTCTCAAAAATAAATAAACATTTAAAAAACACCAAAAATATACATCTTACTGTAAGAATCGATAAGAAAGTGACATTTCTTAATATGGTGTTTGGATCCCCTGAATCCTGGTTAAGTCAGAGACTCCCAGTAAACCTGAACCTCAGATTCCTTTGTCAGAAAAAGTTGGGGACAGAGCTCATCAGGGTGGTTGTGAGGATTATAATCAAATAATGTATTTGAAAATGCCAAAATAAATGATGGTACCTTAACACCAAAAAAAAAAAAAAAAAAAAAAAAAAAAAAAAAAAAAAAAAAAAAAAAGGAAGGAGGGTAGGAAGGAAAGGTAGAAGGGAGGGAGGGAAGAAAGGCAAAGCAAGGCAAGGCATAGTGCTGCCCCATAGCAGACACTCATTTATTAAGAAACAGCGAACATCCTCGTTGTCAAACTCATCCTCTTCCTTCAGAGCCTTATCTGGAAGTCATCTTTCAGAGGGGCCATCCCTACTTAATTTTCTTTCCTTAAAACTTAGCACTAACATACTATTGCCAATACCGTACTCATCTCCGTAACAGAAGTTCCGTGAGGAATGATCTTTGTTTTGTTTGCAGACCCACTCTTGCCTGACCCATACTAAGTGTTCAATAAATTTGTGTTGAATGGGTGAATTTATTCAGTCGCCATCCCCGCCCGATTTGTGCTACTGCTAATTATCGGAGGTACTGGGGCTTGAAGGGGGTATTGTTAAAACATCAACACCTCTGGGGTGAGGTTTAAACAGCATCGCCACCCTCTGGAGGAAGAAGGGGAGAATTGGAGATCAGGTATGTGTGACTATTAGAATTAGTGAGAAGGGCAATGGGCACCCAAAAGTCAGAAGAAAGGTCCAAAAAAAAGGGACCCTGGGATACGAAAAGAAGAATCCGGGTATCCCGAGTTAGCATTCCAGGCTAGCGCTGCTGAGTTTCACCCGCCCACTTCAAGGAGGCGCCTGTCCTCATGAGATTTTCATGCAGACCCTCCAAACCCGGATTTCTAGGCAGGGCCAAAGAGGTGGGCCCCAATAGCTATCAAAGGGCCGAGCAGGGGCGGGGGAAAGAAGCCAGGCCAGACCCTTGGCTGCGACCCGGTCGGAGAAGGCACCCCGCCCTCGGGTCCTGCAGCCTGGAGTTCGCCCTCCATGCGGTGCCAGGCCCAGGGCGCGGCACAGCGCCCGGCGTGGCGGGCACCGCGCGCGCGAGTAGCGCAGGGCCGACCGCGCCGCTTCTGGCGTTGATGCCGCCGTGGCTCTTGCTGCCGGAAGGCGCCCAAATCCTGGCCGCGTCCTCTGTGGGTGAGTGCGGGGCGGGCAGCGCGCGCGCTTGGGCCGCCCCTCCGCGGCTGGGCTGGGGAAGCCCCCGGAGTCTGCGCCGCCGCGCGCCGGCGGAAGGTGACTGCAGGCGGGCGCTTGGAGGCGGCGCCGGCGGGGAGGACTGTGCCCTTTGCCCTAGGCGGTCTCAGCCAGCCTTCCGTCGCTCCTTCACGTCAATCTGGTCGGGCCGAGTTCTGGCGCGGGAGTGAGGACGGTCTGCAGGGACCGCTCGTTAACTTTAAACAGAGCAAAGAGCGATGTTATGTAAGCAAAAAAATGAATGAATGTATGTGGAGATAGCAAAGGAACTACAGTTCAGGACAAGGAACCTATGGCGAAGCCCAAGAGACGAAGAGAAGGTCAGCTTTTATTAGGTCTGAGGAGGAAATTGGGGAGGGTTTACTCTGAACAAAAGCTCCTTGGAGAAGAACAAGAGTTTGAGACTGGGGCAGTTTCTCATTGGTTGCAGGCAGCTGGGGCAGGTTGAGAGCTCCTTTCCTTTTCTTAAAGGCAGGAGATAAAAAAAACTCCCGTGTGAAAAGTGCCTCCCGTGGTGGAAACCATGATCTTCCTTCTTCCTGCTGCTTCCGTGGGCTGTGTGGTGCGTGCGTGAGAGCTCCCCCTTCAGGGCTTCCTCGCTCTACTTTAAGGGTTTCCTTTATTTTCACACCCACCACGTCTGAATTCTTACTGGAGCCAAGCTCAGACCCAAAATAAGTACCCACCCCCCGCCCCCCGCACAAAGCATTTACACTTAAAGGAAGTTTCTAGTTTTAAGGACTAGTTCCACCTCCGCCCCATGACTGCCTCCTGGGCTCACTTTCCAGCCACTTTCTGGTTTCCACGTCGCAAAAATTCCCAAAGAGGAGGATACCCCTCCTCTTTGGGTATCTAGGATACCCCTGATCTGCTGTCTGCTATAGGAAGTCGTAGGTATACCACCAAGTGGAATTAGGTTTTGGAGCTTGATTAAGGGGCATGACCTTAAAAAATTTTTTTAATTTTTAATATTTATGTTAGAGACAGAGTATGAGGGGGGTAGGGTCAGAGAGAGAGGGAGACACAGAATTCCAGGCTCCAGGCTCCGAGCTGTCAGCACAGAGCTCATTGTGGGGCTCAAACCCACCAACCAGTGAGATCATGACCTGAGCCTAAGTCAGACACTCGACTGACTGAGCCACCCAGGTGCCCCAAGGGGCTTGACCTTTTAAAAAATGTAGTCTATTTCCTAGAAAGAAGAATGCTTTAAGCTCTAAGTAAGTCCTTGAGAACTTACCACATTGTCATGGATAGAGCCCCTCCCGTTGCAGGATTTTTTTTTTTTTTTAACCTCACTTCCTCAGAATTTATTGTCTCCCCACCTAGAAAAACGAAGAAGTGGACACAAGATAAAATGAGCAGTAGGCAAAAGTTTATTAGAATATAAGATTAGAAAGTAAGAATAGTATGAAAGCTCTCTTTACAGAGAGGGGACGTTTGAAAGTGAATGCCCCCAACTATGGGCAAGGGACTTTATTTAATATGGTTTTGGTCCATTCCCCCCCCCCCCAACTTTTTTTTCCTTTTTTGGCCTGATAACTGTAGGTGCTGAGTTGTTCATTTCTGTGGGAAACGTGAGTGGGGGAGGGAGTAGGTAGTGTTTGTTACATTCTTAAGAAAAACTTTAAGTCTGAGGGAATTTCTCTCATGATCAGATGTTCCCAGCACTGTTTTAAAATATGTGTTTTCTCTACATCCAGGGACCGCAAGTCCTAACCTTTTCCTCTCTACCTATCATTCTGGGTCACAGGACAGGGAAACTAGAGGAGAGTTGCGGCAGGTGAGGAGGGCTCAGAGAGTCAGGAATCATTCTGCATGAGGACTCTGAGGGTCCAGGGCGGGGTTGCCCATATAGGAAATGAAGAGGCAGATGAAGCTTTCCTTCTGCTCACCATCCAGCGAAGGTTTATCCTGAAGCTTCTCTGTTTCCCTACCCTCCCACCCTAGCCTTTCTCTTCATGGACCTCACAAAAATGAAGCCCTGTTCCCAAGGGGAATCCATTATCTACTGATGGCCCAGGTATCTCAGATTCTTCAAGACCATGGGCATGATGTGATCTTACTTCAACAGAATGGACTTTCGTTCACATTAGGTATCCTGTCTTTCTATTCCATGTTCTGTCCAACAGAAATACAACATGAGCTATAAATGCAAGCCCCATGATGTATTTATATTCCAGAAGACACACGAAAAATAAAAACAGGTCAAACTAATTTTCATCATACATTTTATTGAAAGTCATATATCCAAAATATCATTTCAACGTGTAAACAATATAAAAATTATTAATGACATAGTTCACATTTGTTTGTGTTAAGTCTTTGAAATCTGGTGTGTATTTCACAATTCACACTAGCCACATTTCAAGTGTTCAATAGCCACATGTAGCTGATGGCTGCCATATTGGACAATACTGTTTGGACCCTCCTACCATAGGTGATAAACCTTGCATATGTTAAATGTTCAGCAAAACTTCATTTTAGTTCTACTGAGTTATTACAATGAAAATGATATGTGTGTGGTATCTGTGTTTATTTCAAAGTCCATCTTAAACCATAACTCTAGCATAAGAAAGTTTGAAACACTGTTTCACTCTCCTCATCATCTTCTGCATCCCTCCATCTCACATCCCCTCACTTCTGTCTTCAACCCATTCATGCAAACCCTTCGCACACATTTCCAGATCAATTTGACAAAATACTGCTTTATGTTGCATGAAACCTTGTGTATAATTTGTGGAGATTGGATCAAGATGATTTCTCTTTTTTTTTTTTTTAGAGTAGGCTCCATGCCCAGTGTGGACCCCAACCTGGGGCTTGAACTCAAGACCCTAAGATCAAGACCCTGAGCTGAGAGATCAAGAGTCAGATGCTTAACCAACTGAGCCACCCAGGCACCCCATCACAATGATTTTTCTGATAACAATCCAGGAAAAGAAAACAGCAAAATTGCAGGAGAAACTTATCAAACAACTAATACAAGAAAAATTTCCAGAACTAAAATACGTGTAGCTCCATACTGAAAGATCCCACCTGCATTCAACACAAAGAATAAAAAAATGACATACACCAGGGGAAATCATGGTGACATTTCAGAATAGCAGTGGTTAATAAAAAGCAATCTAAATGTTTTGGGGTGCCTGGGTGGCTCAGTCAGTTAAGTGTTTGATTCTTGATTTCAGCTCATGTCATGATCTCACAGTTCCCACATGATCCCACAGAGAAGGTTTGAGCCCCGTATGGGGCTCCACACTGACTGTCTAGAGCCTGCTTAGGATTTTCTCTCTCCCTCTCTCTCTCTCTGCCCCTCCCTGACTCACATGTGCTCTCTCTCTCTCAAAGTAAATATAAACTTAAAAAAAAAAACTATTTTAAAAGCAACCTAAATGTTTTGATATACTGCAATGATGAGTAGGACTCAGAATGGCATCAAACTTTTTAGCATTGACATACAGCAGTGGACACAGAAAACCCAACAAGACTTGACAGTAAAATAGTCTCAAAGGTTTTCCTTTTCATATACCACTTCTTAAGAAGTTATTACAGAGTTTAGTCCCAGCAGAACAATGGGGTGACTAAGAAAGAGGAAGACAAAGGGTAAGTATATAGAAGTGGCAAAACAAGAGAGTGTTAAGATTTGTCTTAAGGTATCAGCTGTGCAGTTGGCCTGGAGAGCAGTTGGTCCAGGTTGAATTGATAGAAGAATCCAGAAAGAACATCTCTGGGGGCGAAAAAAGATTAGTCAATAAGTTGACCTTATTGAAAATCCTATTGAGAGAATATTGGAGGGAGTTGAGAGACTGGCCAATAGGCACAGAAACAAAACAAAACAAAACAAAACAAAACAAAACAAAACAAAACAAAACAGGCCTAAACAAATGAAAAGTATTCCCTCTGTTCTCCCATCCTCCAACTAGATTTAGCAGGGAACATACACTTTTCGAGTGCGACCTACAGGGCCTAACATTATTTATGCAAGTCTTTTTCTCTCTCATATTGTTAATGTTTATATTTTCTTTCTCTCTTTTTTTAAGTTTTTTAAACTTATTTTGAGTGAGAGAGAGGAGAGAGAGAGAGCACGAGGAGGAGAGAGGAAGAGAGAGGGAGGGAGAGAATCCCAAGCAGGCTCCGCACTGCCAGCACAGACCCTTATGTGCGTTTTGATATCATGAACCGTGAGGTCATGACCTGAGCCAAAATCCAGAGTTGGACACTTAACTGGCTGAGCCACCCAGGTGTTCCTATTTTCATGTGCTGATTTCCAAAAATGTATACCAAATGTCTTGAATTTCTCAAAACTAGTCCCTGTGTTACTTAATTTTTTTTTCTTTTTTAATTAAAGCTCCATGCCAAATGTAGGGCTTGAACTCACAACCCTGAGATCAAGAGTTGCGTGCTCTACCGACTGAGCCAGGCAGGTGCCCCTTTAAACATTTATTTTAAAAGCTTAATTTTTAAAATGTATCCCCACCAACATATATGAAATTGGTAGTAGCACATAGAATTACTGTACTAACTGCTAAGCTAATTACGTTGTTTGTACACTTCATAATGCCTACCTCTTTCTTTTTTTTTTTTTTTAATTTTTTTTTTCAACGTTTATTTATTTTTGGGACAGAGAGAGACAGAGCATGAACGGGGGAGGGGCAGAGACAGAGGGAGACACAGAATCGGAAACAGGCTCCAGGCTCCGAGCCATCAGCCCAGAGCCTGACGCGGGGCTCGAACTCACGGACCACGAGATCGTGACCTGGCTGAAGTCGGACGCTTAACCGACTGCGCCACCCAGGCGCCCCTACCTCTTTCTTTTTAAACACTTAACACACTGGTAATTTTTTCCTTGTAATGATTTGCTCAATATCTGCTTTCCCTGTCAAACCGTAAGGTCCATGAGAGCAAAGATCATGTTTTCCTTGCACACTACGAGATCCACAGAACCTATCATAGTGTATGGCATATAGTAGGCAGAAAGTAAACATTTAATTACACTACCTAAAGATCAAGATGTATAAAAATACTAGGCCAAATTATAAGTTACATCTTCCTTGACTAGTTTTTTATAGTTATTGAAACCTTTGATATCGTCCCAGATATAACTGGGAAAATTATCTTGACTTGATCATTGGATTCAAGAAGTCTTCTTGGACTCTTCTCTCTCTGGCTTAAAGTAGTTGTCTGCCTGCACCCCCCACCCTCCAATCCAATCAGAACACCCTCATCAAACTTACTATAACCTAAAATGACTGCCCATTTGGCCGCATTTATTTTCTCCTCATAATCTTGTGACCTTTTGGAAGAAGGCTGCCCTGCTCATCACACTGCTGAAGTGACAAAACAAATTCCTCTCTCTGTCCCCAGTAATTGTCAGTAATTATCCTCATAGAAAGTATTTTCTTCATTGAAACAGCACTTTTAACCACTTTTTGTCCCAACATTATTTCATTCCATCTTCTTTTCCCTGAACCAATTTTATTATTAAAAAAATTTTTTTAATGTTTATTTCTTTTTGAGAGAGAGAGAGAGAGAGAGCAGGGGAGGGGCAGAGAGAGAGGGAGACACAGAATCTGAAGTAGGCTCCAGGCTCTGAGCTGTCAGCACAGAGCCCAACGTGGGGCTCGAATCCATGAACCATGAGATCATGGCCTGAGCGGAAGTCTGACACTTGATGGACTGAGCCACCCAGGCACCCCCAATTTTATTTTTTTAATGTTTGTTTATTTGTTTTTATTTAGAGTGCGAGCTGGGGAGGGGCACAGAGAGAGGGAGAGAGAGGATCCTGGTCAGTCTCTGTGCCCAACGCAGGGCTCAATCTCATGAACCATAAGATCATGACCTGAGCCAAAATCAACAGTTGGAGGCTTAACCAACTGAGCCACCCAGGCATCCATCCAGAACCAATTTTAGAAATGGTTGAGCCATTTAAATAGGCATGAATGGTGGTATACCCTGTGTCCTTATGTTAGGATAAATGCATATTTGCCTTCTCTGTCTCTCAGGAGGGCACTTCTGAACCCTGGCTGCATATTAGAATTACCTGAGGAGTTTTAAACAAATGCTTATGTTTGGGGTTCACTTTCAGAAAGTCTCATGTAAACTATTTATGGTGAAGTCCAGGCATAGATATGTTTGTAACGCTCCCCTATAGCACACAGAGTAGAGACCTTCCTCCTGGAGCCATGTTTCTGTTTTCCCCTTCACCACTCTCCAGAGGTTCTCTCTAAGTGTTGGGCCTTCACTTTAGTGAAAGGAGATCATGCAGCTGATTGCTGATCTGCAGTTCGTAAGTCAAGTGCCTAAATCCTGGGCATGAGTAGTAGGAATCTCATTTTTCAGCCCATATTCTGCATCCTGAATCATCAGTGCAGAATCACTTTGGTGCGGCATTTGTCAAATGTTGTGTAAACCATAGCACATGTTTAACCATTATTAAAAGAAAAGTAAATGAATCCCCAATAAAACAAAGTAAATCCTCAAGTAAAAGCTGACACAGGACATTAATCTTCAGCAGGGTTGCTGGAATCTGTATCATAGAAGAGGCCCTGAGAGGGAGGTAAAGGTACAAAATCCTCATTCACTGGCCCTTAAGTGGGAACCCCAAGCACCAGTCACCTTTTTGAAGGATTTGTTGCCAGTGGAGTGTGAAGACATCCATTGGTCCAATAGTTGAAAGCAAGAAACCAGCAGATGTCACTAACACACAGCTTTTACAGTGGTTTCTCCAATGGAAAAAGCTGTTTTTTCACTTGTGTTCATGAGACCCTGTCATCAGGATGCTCACAGCTGCGGGAAAACAAGTCCTACACACAGGTATATTTAAGAACAAAGTTTGCCGGGCACCTGAGTGGCTCAGTTGGTTGGGTGTCCAACTTCGGCTCAGGTCATGATCTCACGGTTCGTGGGTTCAAGCCCCGCATTGGGCTCTGTGCTGACAGCTCAGAGCCTGGGGCCTGCTTCGGATTCTGTGACTCCCTCTCTCTCTGGCCCTCCCCCATTCACACTCTGTCTCTCTCTGCCTCTCAAAAATAAATAAAAATGTAAAAAAAAAAACCAAAAAACAAAGTTTGCATATAATTGGAGGTCTTACAGAACGTCATGGATGAGCTTCAGGATTCAACCAGTGGAGAGAGATCAGAGACACCAGCCATAGCTGGTAATATGTCCCACAGCAGGAAGAGCGCCAAAAGATGGGTAGGATTTTGATGAGGGGAAGAAAGGAAGAGGAAGAAAGCAGGAACATTCTAAGCATCAGAAAGAATTGTAGCAAAGAAAAAACAGAAAAATGCCATGGTAGATTTGGAGGTCATGAAAGGACCAGTATCTGGATCAGAAAGTTCTCAGGAGAGAGCAGTAGAACAGGTTGCTGCCAAAAGTGCTTTCTGGGTGTTCACTTCCGGTGTGAAGATTCTTTAGTGTGTTTGAAGATTAACACCATTTGTGAATATTGAATATCTCTCACTTCTTTTTTTTTTTTTCTTTTTTGCAGGAGCTCATTTACAAACCTTTTAAAGGTCATGTAGCTTCATGACACAACTCAGTGTAGTCATTTGTTAGGAAGGACAGATATTATGGGCTCCTTAAAGAATGAGAGTTTTGACCTAGTGGTGGTTGATGCTATAGGATCGTTACACTTTCCTGGTTGCTGAGAAACTTGGAAGGCTGTCTGTGACCTCTTTACTAGCACATTTGGAATATCAATTTTGGGCTGTCTGAACCTGTGTCTTGCATGTCCTCCCTGACAGATCACATGGATTTCTGAGACCAGGTGAAGAACTCTCTGATGTTCTTCATTTCAACCTTGAGCAAATGGTATATATTC